TTGAACTTGTTATGGGCAGAAATAGAATAGTGGGAACTAGCTATAGTTATAAGAAATATTAATAATGCTTTATTAGCCATGATTATTCTGTTCTGATTAGAGAAAACACATTCTAACCTGGCTGAGAATTGTACACCCTGGAACATGGGAGTTAACCTTGAAATGTGGTCCATTCTCCTTTTCTAAGAACTGCCTATCATCATGGAAAGATTGGCAACCTTGTTGCTGAAACAATGGAGTCTGGGAGGCACCCACCCTTTGTGATTCCCAGCCGGCATTGCTTGTAGCCTGTAACCATTATACCTTGCTGACTTCCCCATGCCTGTAATTCCTACTTTCCCATGTAATCTTTGTCCTTCTACCCAATATAAGCAGCTGACTTATGGGGTCGGGAGTGTGGGGATAGAGCAGAGTTTTGTGGATGATCTGCTGCTCTCCCATACTGCCAGCATTAATGGAATAAACGCTCATATAGCATTCAACCCCGTCTCTGCTTAATTGGCTCAAATAGTGACAGAGAGCCCAGACCTACTCACTGTCTAGTTTCAATCTGACAAGCACAATACAAGAAAAAAATAGATAAGCCATTTTCTTATATTCATAGGTAAGCAAAATATTAGCAAATCAAATACAGCAATAAATTAAAAGACTCAGATATCAAGACTAAATGGGCTTATTTTAGGAATGCTAGGCTGATTCAACTTTCAAAGCTCAATCAAGAGGATCTGAGATCTTGCTCCCCAGGATATGCTGCCAGTTTGGCTCAAGTAAACTCTTATAAAAATTAAAAAAAAAAAAAAAAAAGCTCAAGTTGATCCTAAAATTCATGTGAAAAAGCAAGGGACCCAAAGTAGCAAAAATAATCTTGAAATAGAAAAAAAACAGAACAAAGTTGTAGAACTTATACTCCCTGGTTATAAAACTTACTACAAAGCTACATAATAAAGACAGTGTAGTACTAGCATAATGATGGATACATAGATTAATGGAATTGAGAGTCCAGAAATAAACCCTTACATTTACAGTCAGTTGATCTATGACCAGGGTGCCAATACAATTCAATAGGAAAAGAATAATCTTTTCAAGAAGTAGTGCTGGCACAACTAGATATCCACCTCTAAAAGAACAAAGTTTGACCCCTAACACACCATATATAAAAATTAACTCAAAATGGATCAAAAACTAAAATATAAATGCTAAAACTATAAAACTTTGAAAAGAAAGCATAGAGTATATCTTCGTGACCCTTGGTTATGCAACAGTTTCTCAAATATAATGCCAAAAATTAAAACAATAAAAGAAAATCTATAAATTGGACTTCAATAAAATTAAAAACTTTAGTACTGCAATAAGAAAGTGAAGGCAACCTATAGAAGGGAAGAAAATATTTGCAAATGATATCTGACAAGGGCATCAATAATATATAAAGAGCAATTACAACTTAATAATAAAAAGACAACCCAGTTTTTAAATGGGCAAAAGATCTGAATAGACATTTCTCCAAATAAGATATAGCCAATAAGCACATGGTAAGATGCTCAATATCACTAGTGATTAGGACATGCAAATCAAAAGCACAGATACTACTGCATACCCATTAGGTTGGCTAAAATAAAAAACCTAATAACAAGTGTTGACAAAAGCGTTGAAAAATTAGAACTTTCAAACACTGCTTGTGGAAATTTAGAAAAGTGTAGTCACTGTGGAAAATAGTCTGGCAGTTCATCAAAATGTTAAATATAATTACCATAAGATCTGGAAATTCTACTCCTAGGCATACACCCAAGAGAAATAAAAACATACATCCATACAAAAACTTGCATGTGAATTTTGATAGCAGCACTATTCATAACAGTTAAAAAGTGAAAACAATCCAGATGTCCATCAACTGATAAAGACAATATAGTATATCCATACAACAGAGTTACTGACAATAAAAAAGAATGAAATACTGATACATGCTACAACATAAATGAACCTTGAAAATATTATGCTTAGTGACTGAAGCCAGTCACAAAGAATCACATAATGAGTGATTTCATTTATATGAAAGGTCCAGACTAGACAAATCTGTAGACTGAAAATAAATGAGTGGATGTCTGGGGCTGGGGTTGGAATGGAGGGATGGAAGAGAGCGGGGCAGCGGAGAATAGAGAGCAACTGCTAATGAGTACTGGGTTTCTTTGTAGAGTGATGGAAAATGTTCTAAAATTCTATCATGACAATGGTCTCACAACTCTCTGAATGTATCAACCCCACAGAATTGTAAAACAAGTGAATTCTATGGTATGTGAATTAGATCTTAATTAAGCTGTTAAGAAATATAGTGTGAAAAAACTCAATAGATGTAATTCTCAACAATAACAAAGTAAAGAAAAAAATGTGTATGGTCATTGCAATGGGGGGAGTGTTAGCATATGATAAAATTCAAAATCTATTCAGAGCAAAAGCTCCCTGACATAGGAAAAATAGGAAAGAACTTCCTTCATATGATGAAAATTTTTTACCAAAACTCCCCCAGCAATCATCATACTTAAGGTAAAATGTTGAAAGCTTTCCCTGCAAGATCAGACAGGACACAAATATGTCTATTACCTCATGTTTTATTTAAAAGTGGACTCAGATCAGTTGAATAAGCCAAAAGGAAAAGGAGAAAGAAAGAAATATTTCAATTAACAGATGACATAACAGGATTATATACACAGAATAACAACAATCTACAGAAAACTAGTAGATTTATAAGCCAATTTAGTAAGGTTGATGATTGAAGACTGGAACTGATTATAACATAAACAAACTTCTGAGATGAAGTTACATGCCACTGAAACAACATGAACACCAGCAAAAGGAAGCCCAGTTATTAGTTCTGAAGGTAGGAAAAGAACTGGTATTTCTGGAGTGCCTAACATATAATAGTGTCTATTATGTGCCAACAACTTCAACGTATACTATCTCATTTAATCCTCCAAAGAACCCTACGAAACAAGTACTGTATTATTGATCACTCAGGAGGAAACTATGATACAGTGCGTGAGAAAACCACATTCAAATGCAAATTTGTATGACTACAGAGCCTAAAAAGAAGTAAAGCTTCACCCAAAGATTTAAAACACAAAAACCAAACAAATAAATCCTGGCTTGATGTATGCTTCCAGTAAGATGAAATAGACATACAGTCAGCTGGAAAAACTGACAACTTCTTAAATAACTACCCATGCAATTACCATATGGTCCAGCAATTATTCTCCAGGACATTTATCCTAAAGAAATGAAAACTTATATCTACACAAAAACATATACAGGAATGTTTATAGTACAGTAGTTTTATTCATAATAACCCAAAACTGGAAACAACCCAGAAATCCCCCAATGAGTGAATGGTTAAACGAAGTGTAAGTACATCCCTATCATGCAATACTACTCAGCAATAAATAAGTGCAATTAATACACACAACAATGTGGGCGAATCTCCAAAGCATTATGGTGCGTGAAAAAAGCCAGTCACAAAAGGTTACATATTATTTGATTCCATTCATATAACATTCTTGAAATGACAAAATTATAGAAATGGAGAACAGATTAGTAGTTGCCAGGGGTTAAAGAAGTGGTTGTGGCTATAAAAATGTAACATGAGGGATCCCTGTAAGATGGAAATGTTCTCAGTATTGATCATGTTGATATCTGGGTTGTGATATTGTACTACAGTGGTACCTAGGTTTTCGAACGTCTCCGCTGATGAACATTTTGTTTTACGAACCCTGTAAACCCAGAAGTAAATGCTTTGGTTTTCAAACACGCCTCAGAAGTCGAACATGCCACGTGGCTTCCGCTGAGTGCAAGATCCTGAAGCCTAGCTGTCGGCTGTGGATCCCTCGGTTTTTGAACTTTTCAGAACTCCAACGGTCTTTGGGAATGGATTACATTCGAAAACCCAGGTACCACTGTAATGAGGACCAAAAGATAAAACTCCAAGATCATGTAGCTAGTGCAGAGGTAACACACACATCTGGACCTTTGCTCCCATTTCAACATAAGAATGTTCCAGCTCTGCTTCAGGGCTAAATCCCAGTAAAAATGTCTATTTTAAATTGCCAAAATATTTGCCCTACAAAGAATTAGTGAAAAAATAATCATCTAATAAATTTCATCCCTGAATTTCATTCTTTCATGCATTCAACAAAAATATATTTAGGTATTTACACAGAGCAGACATTGTACGAAGCTCTGGATATATAACTAGATGTGGTTTTGAAGAAATACTATAGGGGAAGTAGCAGTGGGTTAAGGAAGTATAGAAGAGGTACTGTTTTCTAATTTGGGGGCTTGGAAAGCTTCCTAAGAGATACACATATATCAAAGCTGAAACCTGAAGAATATATAGACCATAACCAGACGAGAGTATATGTGAAAGTCCTGAATTGGAAGTAAAAGGAGTATAGGAAAGAATTCTCAATCTTCATCTTACTGAACCTATCAGTAAATCATTCCCTCCTCACTAAATCACTTACATTCTAGAACACAACATCCTCACGGTGTTTATCCTACACAGTGTTCCTTCTTAGACTAAACTTTTCCTGGTTCTTCCTCATCTCCTTGCCCTCTTAAGTTACAGTACACCAGGAATCAGTTCTTAGTGTCCTTTGCTCTATCCTTTAGAGATCAGTCTCATCGCTTCAAATATTACCTCTATGGCAATGAATCTTATATTTATATATGGAGATAAGACCTCTCTTGAATTTCAGATTCATATAGCTAACCAAATATCTCTACCCAGCAATCTAATGGGCATCACACAGTTAACATGGCCAAAAGTGAACTTTAGATCTTTCTCTCAAACCCTATTCCATCCATGGTCTTCCCCATCTCACTCTTCCAGGCACTCCTTTGGCTCCTTTCTTTGTCTCTGACTGCATATCCAATCCATCAACAACTCATGTTGGATCTACATTCAGAATATACCCAGAATCCCACCATTTCCTACCACCTCCAAATCTCCTCACCTGATCTGAATTCCTTCAAAAATCTGATATCCCAGCTTCCTCTTCATTCCCCTCATTCTCCCAATACAGCAGTCAGTGAGATAAAAAGAAAGGCTGATCATATCACTTCTCAAAACACTTCAGTGGCTCCCAATTTGACTCCGATAAAAACTTAATTAATTAATGGTTTATAAGTCCTTCCACAATCTGTCCCCTTCCACTCCTGTTGCCTCTCCACCTTACTTTTTTCCTGTCACACTGACGTCCTTACATGTTCCTGCTTTGGATTCTACACTAGGTGGTCCATCTGCCTATACCACTCTTCCCCCAGATATCTGCATGTCTACCCCCCCTACGTCCCCTACTTCTTTTAAGACTTCTTTTAAGAAGTCTCTTCTGACCATGGCTGGTGTGGCTCAGTAGATTGGGCGTCCTCCTGTGCACCAAAAGGTTGCCTATTCAATTCTAGGGCAGGGCAAATGCCTGGGTTGCAGGCTCGATCCCTGGTAGGGGGCATGCAGGAAGCAGCCAATCCATGTTCTGCTCTTGCATGGATGTTTTTCTCTCTCTCTTCTTCTCTCTTCCTTCTTCTCTCTCTAAAAATCAATAAAAAAATATTTTTAAAAAGAGTCTATTCTGAAATGTCAATTTCTCAATGAAAACTTTACTTGACCACCTTGCTTAAAATTGCAACTTTCATGGTTGCTTCAGCAGCACATATACTGAAATTGGAATGATACAGAAGAAATTAGCATGATCGCTGCACAAGGATGGCATGCAAATTCATGAAGCATTATGTATTTCTGAAAGAAAGAAGTCTAAAGTAACTATGACAAAATGTTAACAATAGGTGATTCTGGGTCAAGAACATATGGATCAAGTACATACTGCACTATTCTTATGACTTTCTGTAAGTCTTAAATTATTTCAGAATAAAGTTAAAAATTTTAAAAACAAAAAATTGAAACTTCCTATAGTATCTCTTCCCTGCACTAATTTTTCTTTCTTGATAGTACTTACCATGTTGTAAAATGCTTTAACTGACTTACTTATTATAATTTTTGTTTATTGTCTTTCTCACCACTAGGATTTAAGTTCCATAAGGCGGAGACCTTTGTCTGTTTTGTTTCCTAGTATATTTCATGTACCTGGCGCCAAGCACTCAATATTAGTTGTTATTAAATCTTCAAGGACAGGAGGGCATGATTAGAGAGTCTAGAGGTGGAATAGTTCCTAGAGATGAGAAAGTATAAGGTGGCACCATAGGAGTACATGGCTGAGCTAGTGTGGAAATCAAGTTCACAGGAGACAGGCAGTCTAGGAACTAGGAAACTAGCATGTTGTGTCAGCTGGGCTGTATGTTCCAATGTAGAAGTCACCCTTACAGAAAGAGAGTAAGCCAAGTTCAAGTTATAGCAGGGAAATTGGGGACACAATTTGCAGAGTGATTAAGATTAGGGGGGAATAGTTTATTGAACACAGATTAGAGTTTATTATTAGAAAGTTCTAAGATAGAAAGAAGGCCTGCATATGGGAACTTTTTCTTAATACATAGTATCAGGCAAATCTGTTCAATTTAAAAACAAATTCGGTTAATTGAGACAACTAAATTTTATAAATTTATCCTAGTCAACAAAAATTATCAGTGGAAATGGTCTTAATTACTACGGTACTTTGGCCACATAGACACAACCAGTAAATGCTGTTGAATGAACTATCTTAAGCAAATCTTGGGATCCCATTACTCACTGCTCCTCTCTTCCCATCTAGCTGACCACGGAGGCAAGTGGGCAGCGGGGAGTGGGAGGACTAGGAGCCTGAAACCTTAGGAAGTACCTTTCCTCAATTAAGTAAGTACAGAAGTAACCGTGTAATAACATAAGTAATTCCAAATCCTTATTGGAAATACAAATTTGGCTTGAGTAAACTGCCAGTTCCTGTAAGTAGTGAATATGGAGGTCTATTAGACACCTCTCCTTTAAATTACGTGGATTCCAGAAACCACCACACACACAAGTTTGTGATTATGGGTTTAAAAAGGTAGTCAATGTGGATGTCTACTTATCTAGTCAAATATTTTCAAAATGATTATACACAAAGTCATATACTCATCATAGAAATTCTTCAGATTTATTCTATATTTTAACATACTCCATGCTTATACCGCACTGTACATTCAATTTACATGTTTGTATCTGATATAGCTATATTTATAGATTGTAAGTTACAACCTAAATGTAACAAATTGAAATCACATTTTTGTCAGTGAAATGGGATATTCTAAAATGATACAGGATCAATTTCAGTAAATTATAGAATTATATAATAGTTTCAATGTCACTTATGGGGCTTTAAAACTGTCATATCTAATATCTAACTACTTTAAAAGCAAGGACACTAGAATCTTTCATTGTATAAGCAACTGTTTTCAGAATAATGATAAAATAACTCCCACTTACTAAGTGGCGTCTTTCTGTGAGGTACTATGCTAGGAAATTTTAGAAAATCTCTTGTAATTCTCTAAATAACCCACAAAGATAAGCATTATTATTCTCATGTTAGGGACAAAAAATATTGGTGATATTAAGCCTAGAACTCAGATTGGTCTAATTTAAAAGTCTGAATTCTTTTCCATTATGCAACACTGCCTCTTAAAATTACTCATTCAACAAAAAATTATGGAGTGCCTATTATGTACCAAGCATTGCAGAAAGTACCAGGTATACAAAGATAAATTTATGTCATTGTATTCTCACTTCCCAGCCCAATCGAGGACAGAAATAAGAGTTACAAACAAATAACTGCAACACAATGTAGTAAGTATTATGAAAGGCGTATATATAAAAATCCCATACAGAAGTGGGAGTGTTGACTCTGTGTAACATAGCGAACAATCAAAGAAGGCTTCATTTAGAAAAAAAAAATTGCTTAGTATATAGTAAAGCTAGTTTAAATATTTGATGTAACTCTTAAATTGAAACTACAGGAAGAATGGAATTTGCCAATGGAGAATCAAGATAAAAATATTCTACGGAGAAAGAAGTCACATTTGCAAAAGAATAGAGTTCCAGAAAATCCTTAGCAGTTTAGCATAGCTAAAAAATAAGATGCTTGTGACAAGTGGTAAAGAAACAAAAACAAGTCATGTCAGGGAGGTTCTCATATGCCATGCTAAAAGAGTTTGGTCTTTATTCTGCAAGAAATTGGGAACTTTTCTTAGAATTTAATCAGGCTGCTGTTTTACTAAGAATACCTTGTCAAATTTGCAAAAATGGATATGGAGGCAGGGACAATCTTTCAGAAGGCTACCATAAATAGTCTAGCTAATATAATTTATAATCTCTTAGCTTCAGACTCCTACATTTAATACATACCTGACATTTTCGGTATCTCATAGGCATTCTAGCCTAAATGTCTAAAACCAGTACCTTGAATTCTCCACCAAATTTGTGTGCTCCCTGCTCTATCTCTCAGTAATAGTACAATCATGCAAGTTAGCAGGCCAGCAAACTGGGTTCATTCTTGATTTCTCCCTTTCCCTTAACCACCACATTAATTTGAGTTATTATTAATAATTCCCAAAATATATCTCAAATGAATCAATTTCTTTCCAGTTCCACTGCCATCACCTATCCTGAGGCATCACTGCTCAACTGGAATACTGCAAAAGCTCCCAACCTGACACCCCGACATTTTCCTCAATATCAGTTTATTTCCTTAAAGCACTTACTGTAATTGGCAATTTAAAAAATCTGTTTGCTTGAAATTTGTCTCACCCTCCTATTAGAATGCTTTTATAAAGTCAAGGACCATCAACTAGCTTTATTGTTGTTTTACTTCAGCACTCTAGCATCAGCCAGGTCAATAAAAATTATATTAACAAAAACCAACACACATCTACTAGGTACCAGGCATTACTTTAAATGTTTTATATATATTAGGTCATCTAATCCTCACACAATACATAGGTATTCTATTATCTCGATTTTACAGAAAAAAACTAAGGCACACATAGTTAACTAATCTGCCTCAGGTCACCCAAGGAGTACATGGCAGAAAGAAGAATCAAACCTAGGTCCCCTGGAGTCCTTCCTCGTAACCTCAGTACCTCTCTTGGTAGAAGCTCGATAAATACTTCTTGACCAAAAAAACAAGTGAGATAAAAGAGGAACAGATTTAGGGGACAGGTTGAATTTGAAGTACTTGGAGAAGGCTATAGGGTACAGCGTGATAAATAGTTATAAATTAGAGATAAGCACTCAGAAGTTATCAGGTTCTACCAGAAGCCACCTATCAAATGCAAGCCACTGTCTAAAAAGTGATTATAAAATTTAAAAAGTTAGATATGCTCGTAAACTGCAACCATCTTGGTCCAATTCTGTAATAGAAACGTTTTAACAGCACAAAGAATGCCCCATTGAGCCTTGATTTTACCTATGAAAAATTCTGATTGCTAACAGTAATTGAAATACTTTCCTTGCTTTATGTAGTATTCAGTATCTATATAAATGTAATTTGTCAAAACAGGAAAGTACAGAGATTTATTTTTAATTTGAAAAATGAAATGAAAAATCCACCTAATAAAACATGTGAATGACAAGAAGATATCTAAAAAAGAAGAGGGAAAGCATGCTTTACTTAGTAGATATCAATACAAAGCTACAACAGAAAGTGAGATAATGGGTATGGCAAAGTAAAAAAAAAAAGAACAACAAAAGAGAACAAAGTCCAAACAAAACCAAGTATATATACATTATAAAATTAAATGTAAAAACAAATGAAAATTTATATTTACATATTATTTCTTATTCTCTAATTTCTAAGCATCAAAAATAAACTAGAATTATACAGGAAAAGACAGATTTCAACATTAAATAACTGAAACTATATCTTGGAAAAACAGCATCAAAAAGTAAAAAGACATATTTCAAAATGGGAGTAAAAACTTGTAAAATATGTAACAAAGATTTAAAAACCTAAAAGTATTAAGAGACTATGATCAGTAACAACAGGCTACTCAAAAGAGTTCAAATAACAATGGACAACATAGATATAAAAGATCTTAACATCAACAGAATTCAATTAAATTAATGAGGGATCA